GATTTCTTGGAACTCCTCAGTGCTGAACTTTTGCGGTTGCGGTTGCGGTTGAGGCCAATAGGCTCGCAGGGTGCCTGAAGGCCCATTTTAGGGGTCCGTGATGGGGGCTCTCGGAGCTTTGGAAAACTTCGTTTTAGGGGCCAAATAATTGGGGCCACTGGGAGCGCCGAAAGGTGAGATTTCAAGCACATGGATGCCCACGCAAGGCGTCTGGGTAGAACAAACGAATATCTCGACATTTGATTGCAAACTCCATCGAAGAAAACCACTCCGCAAGTCCGCAATTTCACAATGTCGCACTTTCGGCTTTCCGGCTTGTCGTCGCTGGTATCCAAGAGTTGAATTGGCAATGTCGACAGCTGAGATTCTGTGGTGCATTCAGCCGTCTGCTCTGACATCTTCCTGCCTCAGCATCTTTTGAACGGCCACCATCTCCTCCTGGCCCTTCTCCTCTTCCTCCTCCGGATCACGCTTTGCTCACCATGCCTACTTACCTATGTATTTTCCAAGTCCTGCTGCCCGATCATGCAGCGTAACACAAGGGTTGGCGGTAGGAAGAGAAAGAGCTAAAAGGTTTTTGACTACCATGACATGAGTTAAGAGGTGGGAGGAAACAGGCACAAGACATTGGACAAGACGCTCAGGGTTCAAGGTACGGGGTAAGAGACAGGAGCCACGAGCCACGAGGCGGCAAGGTCAAGAGCCCGATAGAGTCCAAGTCATTCTCAGCTAGACAAGATAGCTACATACAAAGGAAAAGAAATCAAAAGTCGTATCATCATATCCAAGTTCCCTTCCAACTTCCCATGCCTCCTCCATCCTTGTCATGTTGTCCCCAACGACCTTGGCTGGACCATCCTAACCTCAGCATGCGGTACTCCTTCCACGATCCTGCAGAGCAGAGTGGTATAGAAGCCTGTCCATGCAAACGCCTGTCTCTTTATTTCCAATTTGCCCTTTCCCAGTTGTCCCCGTTTTCCTTTTTTTTGTAGAGATTAAGCTTTTGTGTTGGTATCCGACAGGAGCACAAACTAAACAGATAGACTTCTTGTTGCTTTGAAGGAAACAGCCGTCCCGAGGAACTGTCGTTCGGGACGGGACGATAGGCGAAGACCCGCAGTCCGCCCCCCAGAGCTAAAGGCGTGGGTTCGCGTTGTTATAATACCACTCCGGCAGCACCATGGGAGGATGGTAGATGATCGGGATACCTGGGGGAGGAGGAGGAGGAGGCCGCTGGTCCTGACCATCGCGTGGAGGATCAGGTCCGAATGGACGGCTCTTCGTCGCTGGGGAAGGCGCAGGAGTAGGAGGGAGGTTCTGGTGGGCCTGGTACGGCATGTCTGCTTCGATAGATTGACAGGGGACGACTGACTGCTGAACTGCTGAACTTGCTGACCTGCTGACCTGCTGACCTGCTGACTGTGGACTGGTGAGATTGACTTTCTGACCAACAAGGGCTCAAGGTACGTACCTGGTGCTACCGAAAGACTAACAGCGGAAGGTGTCTTGGGGAGCGGGCACTGGCGGCGGGAACGATTCAAGATTCAAGACGATGAAAGGCAATGAAAAAGACCGGTCATTGCAAAGATGGGGAACATTGTCTTCAACTATATACTGCGTACGAGGTTAGCCAGCCTGATTGCCAGTCAAAGTCAATTCTCTGTTGGCGCAGAAAAAGGCTCATTCCCCGCCTGCTTTTTTTACTTTGATGGTCGGTTCTTTGTTCTCTCATCTGCATCTGAGCTTCGGCTATTCGTGGGAGGAGCGGCGGCCAAGGGCCAACAGAGCAAACAGTCTCTGTCGCTCAGCGCTGCTGCAGCGAGGCCGCGGAGGAATGGAGAGAGACATAGAGTTTGAAAAAAGCGGGTGATGGGGTTGACCCTGAGATTTAGTTTGCTGGCTATCCTGTGGCGAACACGGCCAACTGCGCATGCGGCATAGCGGCGGGCAAAGCCATCTGAGACTTCCCTAGCAGGACTTTGAGCGACTTGGTGGTGTCGGGGGACTGCGTTTCAGTGGACGGGGATCGCTCCGAGTAGCAAACATGGTGCAGATAGACCAAGTCCATCTTTGCAGATCTTCAGCTCATCCCCCGCCGAATCCTTCCGGCTCGCTCGCCTCGCTCGCCTCTAGCCGATGGAGGGCGGGATGGAGAGAAGATTCTCGAGGCGAGCCCGATCACCACAAATCGCCTCGCCAGCTGGGCAATGTTGGTCTCTGTCGGGATGATGGCGTCCTCGCTTCTGCTCCGATCATTCGACGCCGTGGAGCTCGTACCTGGAGCCGATCAGGGAGGACAAAGACGTCAAAAGCGTGCGGATCTCGATCGGTTGCGAGGTCACACAGCTGCCAGCGAGCAAAAGTCCGCAGGCAGCCTGGGTGGCCTGGATGGCCTGGATGGCCTGGATGGCTGGGTGGCCCCTGTAAGATGCCATGCGTGCAGCGGCCTGGACGGTCCTTCGCCTCCTCCCACGGCCCTAAAATCATGGTGATAGGCACTCGGCAATCCTTGTCCACGCCGTATGGCAAGCCCTCGTATTCGACATGCTCAGCTGCGGTCGGCCTGTCACTCATGCAGATTGCATGCACAAGTGTCTTGGAGATGGGGAATTGAACCAGGAGACAAGGATGCTTACTTGCTTCCTGGCACAAAGTCACTCCTACTTTTTCTCGGCTTCGCGTCGATGTGATCACCAAGAGTCCTTTCCGCAAATGGGGCGTTGCAGAGAAAAGCACGGTTTCAAAATTACTGATTGATGGCTATCGGCTCTACCTCGTATCTAGCCAGCTTGACATGCTGGGTGTCTCTCGATTGCCCTAATCCCATGGCTGCATGGACACTGCAGGACACAAGTCACACGACGCGCATCATGATGCCCTCCTGGTCCTGTAGAGACAAGCCCACAAACATCCCCTGCAGTCCTTCTCCCGGTAATTCCAGGCTGGTGGCTTCGCACTCGGCCATGCCCAGCTCTCGCTCTCAGTGTCCTACTCCCGAGTTTCCTCCCCATGCCCCTTGCCCTCCCTCACGCTGTGCCCTGAGGGTCTGTCTTGGGATGTTTGTGGCCCAGTCCGAGACCGGACGCTCTTCACTAGACTTCTGGCGTCTCCATTGTGGTGGTGTACTGTCGATGCTTTCTTGTTACTCTTCAGGGATTGTTGAAGTTGAAACCGAAGAGGTCGAGGTTGAATGGGTCGAAGTCGTCTTGGACGACACGGGGATCGAAGCCCAAGATTGGTGGAGAGCCCTGGCTGTGTGACGGACAACTATTTATATATATTTTTCAGAAGGGTGAAATATCCCGCATTGTTTCGCTGTTGTGTTCACTGAACATTGCGATTGGAACGAAGAGTAGTTTGAGCAGAATCCCTAGACTCTTGTTGAATCGATAGCCTCGGTGATAAATAAGCCGATTAGCCCTAGTAGTAGGCGCGGGCGACTTGGCTGCTGCTTGCACTTTCGGCATTGTAGGAGAATTATTCTGATTGCTTGAGACGGTCAGCCTTGTGTCCAGCTATGGATGGAAAGATTGAGACTGCATTGAGAAAACAAAGTCGGCAACATACCGCTCGAGGGATATGTGTGAGAACCGGACCATAACGATCGGGCAGCGGGCTTGGAAGAGCAGTGTTGCCACCCGCGACCTCGACTGCTGGTTCAATCGCTGGCTCCAGGTTGTGCCACAAGTAGGGAGTTGCGCAGGTTCATCGACACTGGGGGTGTCCCACATGGTCTTGAGGGTAAGGTCCTTTGATGAGGTCTCGTGTTGACAAAGTATCGAGGAAGCGATGTTGCGCCCCCAACGGGCCAGCTTCAAGGAGCGGATATCGCAAGAGGCGTGGCTCGCCAAAGTTGTCATCGTCGAGTGTCTGGCTCATCTTGATGAGATTCACATTGGTGGGGATGATTGGAAGCAATGAAACCGCAGCGATCGAGTAGTTGTCGATAGCAATGATCCCGGGAGTTATCTCAGGCCCAACTCGACGGAAACAGCTCAAGAAATGTTGACACGCTGGTTCAGAAACCACCCAGCATTCTTTGTTCAAAAGCGCACAGTCCACCCTTAATTTCGCAGCCGCCCTTCATTAGACTTCTCCTTCGTTTCCCTTTCTTGTACTTCCTTTGTGAGATCCTAATTACTAGGCGTGGACCCTCCGTATGCAGCGGAAGACTATGGGGATTCGAGAGCAGCAAATGCGCAGTGGCCATATCGTGTGAGGAAGTCACCACGAAGTGCGTTCGTACCGTACCAGTCCAGGATAATTTCTGAGCAGCTGCGTCTGATATGCTCAGCTTCCTGCCCCTCGAGGCAAGCCAGCACTCATTTCTCAGTTGCGAATCAATATTTGGCGGAGCTTGAAGCGCGAATAGACACCATAACGAGGCCCTTCTCCAGCTGTGAAGAAGCAACCAAAAACGCCCAGCCTGACCGACCTCTTTCCATATCTCCCATGACATGTTTCATGTCAAATATTGGCAACGATTTTGTGAAGAGGATGAGGAGCGAAGAAGATTGATGTAGCTGCTCGACGGTACTGCATCAGTCTGCAAATCCCGCAAGGCCGAGGAAACTTGTGCTCAAAATCTGGAGTTCATCGATGCGTACCTGAAGCCCAATATCCTGGATTGCTGCCTAAGCTCGTGGGAACTTCAGCTTCACTACAAGAAGGTTGAACTGAGGCAAAGTGAAGTGTTATTCATCTGGGTGGCAGGAATAACACTAGCACTATTGAGGATTGAAAATTCTGTTCTGGTGCGGCAGTATTCACATTCAAATCACCTTGACCGTCAGCAACTCTTCATATAAAGCTTCTCTCACTTCAGCAACCTCATCTTCTCTCACTTCAGCAACCTCGTCTTCTCTCAGCTCTCACTCACCCATCCATCTCAATTCATCTTGTCAGAATCAAAGTTCCTCGAAAGAAAACCTCAGCTTGCAGAGTAAGTTTATCCCGCGACTGTTTGATCTTGACTGAATTTGATCAGAAGCTCTTCCAAGATGGAAAACACTTTCAACACCGTCCCCGATGATCATGACCAGCCAAATCTGATGGCGCTTGGACTGGGCAAAGAAGAAATGGACAACATGTGGCAATTGTCGATTCATTCTTTCCTTACCAACAACCATGAGATGATCATTCCAGGACACATGTCGAGGACGCTCAGCGGACTCAACGTTGCGGACCTTGTTTCTCGATTCAGGTGAGCATCTTCACAAGATAGTTGTTCTCCACTAACTTGCCATAGCGCTCACTTCAGCAATGCTGAGGCAACTGCCTTCTTTGATTTTCCATCTGGAGATCTTCACATTCGCAGAGTTTCTGAGGTCCCCGCCACTGAAAATGACTCTCCCGGCATGAGCAGCTCTCTGGCACGATCCACCTCAGCTCAGACCATGATGTCTATCTCGAGCCCCTCTGCATCTCCCGTGCGTGCACCTTTGGTCAAGGAACCGCTGGTCAAGCCAGCTCGCTTGCCTGGCAAGAAATCAAAAGTCCCTCGTCCACCCAATGCATTCATCCTGTACCGAGCCAAACATCATCCAATGCTCAAGGATGAAAAGCCGACATTGTCAAACAACGAAATCTCCGTCATTCTTGGCAAGAAATGGAGGGAGGAATCTGAACAAGTCAAAACACATTTCAAAGAGATGGCGGACAAGCTCAAAGCTCAGCATGCAGCGCAGAATCCTGGCTATCAGTATGCCCCACGCAAACCATCCGAGAAGAAGCGCCGTATGACTGCACGAAAACTCGCTACCCTTAGCGCTGCCAGAGCCGAGACGGATTCTCAATCCAGTTCAGATCTTGAGATGACTGATGTCGCTGAAGTTGGCGATAGCAATGGCCACGACAACATGACACACGACAACACTGCTCGCGAGACCAACGAGGTTGGGCAGTTCTTCCGTGACGACGAAGCGGTTTCTGCTACAGGGCTCATGGGCAGCGAACGTATGTACTACCCGAGCCGGGTCCGACATGGAAACCAGGGCATGATGTCAGTGATTCTGCCGGCTGGCCACGGAGAGGTCGAGCGCGATCTGGCCTTCAAGATGTCCCGCATGCAGCACTTCACGGTCGAGGACGAGATGGCGATCGGAGGCAGAACCGAGCCTTCCTTCTACAACGACGGTCCCTACTTGCGTCCGACCTTGTCGTCTCTGACGGGGGATGACTTCATGAGTTCGCTGGTCGACTGGGACGCCATCAAGGAGGATGCCAAATGGGTGCACAGCTCAGTCAATGAGGAGAAGCCTCTCGAGACATTCCATTTCGACAGCAAGGAAGAGCGAGCCAAGTTCCAGCAGGAGATTGACCGCATTCTGTGGATGCTTGAATGAATGGGAAAGGGAATGGCTGGGGGCTGGTGCATTCTGAACGTCATGACATCACAAAACCACGGCAGAAACCCTCACCATGAAATCGGCAATCAAGCTTGTCATCATGCCGACATTCCTGCGTTTCAAATCTCCGCGTAGTTGTCAACACAGCGGGCTGCATGCATGATGGGCAGTGGTGCTCGAATCATGATCAAGAAAGAGAGGAAGTGCACATGCCACGGCAAAACACGGAACAGCGCATGCATTGGGCATGCACCTCTGCACATTCAAAACATTCAACCTCCAAAAAAAACAAGTAAAATGTTGCAAATGCGTCAAAAAAAGAACGAGTCTCTTCTTCGTTGATTCTTTCACATTTCCCTGGTCACCAACAGAAAAAACAACCACAAAAAAAATCACAGACGACGGATTGGCCTGGACTCGGCATCAACGAAGTGCACCATCGTGTTGCTATTTGCTTTGGCCGAGCCACGGGGAGCTCGGCTGAACCCGATTGCTTGCGCTAGCAGTCAGGAACCCCGCCAGGATCGCCTCTCAGGTTTCTGCGCTAGGGGCTACGGGTGGGATCATTCACGGCGATACAGACCTCAGGCGAGCTAGGATGTTGAGAAGTGGAGGCTTGGTATCATGGAATGGGGTTTGATGGGCTGTGATGGGATGTGATGGGACGGGATGGGATTAATGGACTGGATTGTCAATGGATTGATGGAGCTCAATGCAGGGGAGTGGGCGCAGGAGCCAGGCGACTGGACTCACAGGGACGGAATCAGAAGCAGAGCCAGAGCCAGAGCATAGATAGTTGAGACAGTGAGTCCGTCCAGACGCGGCAGAGCAAAGTAGAACAGAACAGAAAAGAGGTTACACTCACCACCGCCAGTTCCAGTTTCAGATCCAGTGCCAACTTTCCTGTCCATCCCCCTTTAGCCTTCCCTCCAGGGGCCAGCGCCACATCTTGGTTGAATTTGCGCCGGAAGTCCGGGGCAGCTCCACCCTCAAGTGGCCCACGATAGGCTACGGCTTTGCCCTTCCAGGCGCCGAGATAAGCGAGCATGCAGCCTATGGGCTGATCCCCGGAGTCGCTTGTGAGATAAGCGTGCGGGCGCCCCTCTCAGATCCTGCGCGCTTATTTCCACGTTCCATCTTGTTTACCATTTCCCCAAAAGACAATCTGAATTCTGATGATCATCCACCCATCGATTCCATTCCCTCTTTTGACATTCCGACTCGCTCGCTCCGCCTGCTCTTGGTGACCTTTCATGCTTTTTCTGGTCGCCGTCATTGGACGTATTGTTCATGGACATCAATCAGGGCCCTGTGGCACGCCCTCGAGTCGAGCCCCGAAGCAGAAAGCTGCCCAGAGCTGCGGACGCCAGGGCCAGGCCAGGCCAGGGCCAACGATGCTCCACCGCCTCTGTGAGAGAGAGAGGATTGATCAAACCCGCGCAGAAAGCACACACTGGTATGAACACCCCCCATATCCATGTTCCTCCAGTTTGTGTCCAAGGACCTGAAGAAAACAGGAAGAACGCAGCCCCCCCTCCCACCCAAGGGCCAGATCGTTGGTCAGTAAAACGCAAAGAGGTAGTAGAGCAAGGGAGAGATCAACGAGGTCCCGTCCCCCACCAACAAGAAGAGGAAGAAAGGCAGAAGTCTGGCTTGGGCCTTTTCAGCCGTCATGAAAGTGCACGGACTTGTCGTTCGGTCTCAAAGAGAGGTTTCAAAAACTTGCCTGGAGTATACATGGGTGTGAGGAAGATAGGGCGCAGGGGTGGCTCAGGGGATAGGCGGACAAGTCGAGGGTCGGACACTCCGGGAATATGGACGAGCTGGAGGATCATGCAACCAACCCTCCTGACCGAGTACGTCCTGTGGGAGAGCCAGAGTGCCGAGCGTTTGACGCGGGACGAGCAGCTGCAGCGTGACTTTGGCAGAGAAATCACCGATTAAGGGCAAAGAATCACTGGGTGCGGAAGAGAGCCAGAAGGCCGCAGGGCAGCCATGCTCGAGTACAAAACACGAGGCTCGAGTCCAACGGTCTTTCGTCAAATTCAGAGATATCGAGTACCGCATAGAAGACCACAGGGCGCACATACAAGCCAGTGAGGGCAGCATACAAGACTTGATAACAATGTGACACATTGCAAGAACTTCGTCAACAATGTGGCACAAAGGGAGGACCATTGCAAGACTTAGCTTACAGGGTGCATAACAGCGAGATCCCTGTGTTTCACTTGGAGGACCGTGTGCGAGCCGAGATTGACGCTCTGGTAAGCCACTTCTTCGCTGAGTACACAAGGGATTCCGAGAGAAGCCAGCAACGCCGAAGATGGATGTTACGATTGTGAAGGATACGTCGAGAGCACGAAGACCTGAACAAACCGAGGCGCAGGCTCCCCAGCTCTACTATCAAGAACGATGTGATGATCTCGCCGACTCCCAACCCAGACGTCCTGGAGGAAACGCTCCAGGGAGGCCAATATCATGGGTTTTCTTGTCGGCTTACGGAGCAGCCCACGCCAAATTACGCAGTGGATTTATGGCAAGTCGTCCATTCGATGGCTGTGTTGGAGGGCTCGCCGAGGAGGGAGGAGAGGCGAGGGAAGGGAAAGGGACAAGCATGGGCCCCTTTCCCAAGACCCTCTGCTTTTTTCTCCCCATTCTCCTTGTCAGTCTCCCGTCTCGTCTTGCATGGACTTCCCACCCGCTTTCACCTTGACTATGGCCATCCCCGGACAAGACAAAGGGTTAGGTCGGTTCTGGTTCCTGGTTTCTTGTCGGGAGAGGGACAGAATCGTGATGCAGTTACCTCGATCCGCTCCAGAGCCCAGATCACAGAGTTGCTTTTTGAACCACCCATGCACCTGGCCGCCCACGACGTCGATCCGTAGTCGTTGCGCAGTCAGCGACTTGAGACCATCCGCGCGGTCCGGGCCAGGTGCGACAAGATCCGAAAGGAGGTGGAGGGTCTGCCATGCAGCATCTGGCTGTCTATGCCTTGTTGGGAGCCAACTTGGCCAGTGTTTCCGCGATTCTTCCGGGTGCCCACTCACATCCGTAGAGTTCATCCTCTATCGACAAGACGATGGGTGCAGTTCGCCGTCAACGATAGCGCTGAGCATTCGCTCTCGTAAGCTATCGCTCTCTCCGCAGAACCCCCGAGACTCCGGCAATTCCCGGTGACTCCTTCTCAGATCCTGATCGTGAACAGAGTACCTGCCAAAGACATGATGTATGAACTCATGCTTACCCTGACGCCCATGGACGTTGATAAAAGGGACTGAAGGCGGCTGTCGCTCTGGAGCCTGGAAGATATACTTTCACAGATTTTGTGTCCTGAATTTGGTCTGGAGAAGGGACAATCAAAGCAGCAAACGCCCACACATATCTTCCTCTGTTCGAGACTTGGGGCTGACCTAAGCTGTTCGCAAACCATCGCTTGGATCCTCAAACACTACTGGGTCGTGATGCAGAGTGATTGAGAATCGCGGCTTTCCATTGCTGGGGAAGACATATGGAATGATCAGGGGAGACATCAACTGGTATATATCGCTGCATCCACGCCCTCACAACGACCAAGCAAGCACCTCGCTTCACAATGGAGGCTCTGATACCCAGCAATACTGGCTTCGGACCTTGAATGGCGCCGAGAAACTTGGGTGCATGATTTTTCTGCAACCAGAGTCTCAGCAAGATGGGATCCGCCATCGCTCAATGACCGCGGTCAGATAGGCTGGCTGTAGGACTGGAAATGACGCAACGGCGATGGCAATGGAGCATTTCCGAGGGGATAGGTAGATGTCGCAACCCCGTGGCATAGTGTAGTCTCATGAAGAGGATGTGCATCTACTTTGTCACACCGGCGGACTCAGAACGGGCAGACTCCCCCAGGACCGGGCCGTGATCAAATCCAGCGAAGGAGAAAATATCAGCACTGTCCCGGGATCAAAGTCCATGCCCGTCTCTTTACACTTTGCCAACCCTTGATCTCCTTCCGCATCTGCTCAGTTTGGTGGTGGTGGCGAGTCGGCGGCCGTTGACTACAAGGCGAAGCCAGGTTCGCCACTTTCAGCGTCTCGGATGAAGCAAGGTCGCCAGCCATACGTTGCGCGCTGGAACTCGAGCCCAAATACCTTGCTGTTGAGGCATGTTGCCTAGAAGAGCCAGAGTCAAGACACAGCACCGGTATGCTGATACCACGAAGAGACATAACGAATCCCTTTCTCGAGATCTTCGGATTCCGAAGCAAGTCCCTTGCCTTTCAGGCATGGCGTTGATGACTATCGTGAAATTCCAAGTGCCAGGAAGGGAAGTTAGTACGGTGCGACGTGTGCTCTCTTGGGCCGAGCGACCTGCCATGGTAAGGTACATGGCCATCACCGAACGATACGCCATCCAGCAGAGAGCGAATTCTATCAATGAATATAAGGAACGGCACCGAAACCCCATGCTTGCCCATTGCTAAGGTGTCGACAAAGTGCTTCTGGGTGGAATGGTGTGGAAAAAGTCTTGGTTTTGCGGTGGTTGTGGGAGCTCGTGGAGATTTTGTTGTCGCTAAACGCATCTTGGATCATCATGGATTCTGTAGACATTATCAGTCAGCAGATTGACCATCTCATTGAGGGCTAGGGAGGGCCTAAATTGGTGAGCAATCTTGGTGATGTCTCTAGCAAACCGAGCCAGGTTAAATTCAATACAACCTCAAAGTGCAATCAAAACCTAGTTCGACGGTCAACCCCAAGAGCAATCTTCGTCCGAAATAGGAGTTTGACATTCAGGCTTGTCGCATTATAATGGACGGGATTCGAGGGGAACGATGCCTCCGTATTCTCTCAATGAGCGGCATCTCCGGATGTTGTGCGAATAATAGGTAGCCCAACTTTGAACTGCGACGGTGGATGAACCCTGTCATTCCCCAATGCATCTTCTGGATCATGTCTGAACGAGAGGATTGTCTGGATACTAGTGGCAAAGATCGCACAAGCGTGGGCCTTGTTTCGAAATGATGACTTTGTCGACGAGGCTCTTCGAATGATCAGCGTTCGTGAGGCAACATGTTCGAACCGGAGAAAGTTCAGCGAATGGATTGGGCGCGATGCATCACCGTCGACTTGGGTAGAGGGTTCCGCTCCGTCTTCAACGCTCGCTCATCTCCTTCGAATGGCTTTAGGAACTCTTCGTGTTGCTTCTGGTAGGACTCAGGGGTAATCGGATCAACAGCTTCGTTAGTGAGCCAATACGGGGGCTGAAGGAAAGAAGGAGGAAGAACAGCCACCAATTCGAGATCGATAATGTACTGAATATTCCAGTGCTGATCCACGAGGGTATTACTTTGGTGAAGATCGGTTAAACAAAGGAAGAAGGGTCCGCGGATATTCTGGTGATCTGAGAAGATTGGCCGCAAGGTGCGCATTGAAGCTAGAGCGGACATTTGGGAAACGCAATCAGCCGTGTTATTGACGGCGTTCAGATGGAATCGCAATCGATTGTCGTGTCACAGGAGGAGATCATTGATATATGCGTCGGCTGTGTGATACATGCAGTTCCTCAGAACGGGGACGGCAATCCCTTCATTCTCCAGGGATTGAGGTCGAGTGTAGGAGGACGATTGATCAGTCGTACGATGCCTTGATCGTTGATACTCAAAGTGCCAATGGTCGAAAACTCATCTATCCCCAAACCCAGCATAATCCGTGCCAATTCTCGGTACAAATTCGACCTTTTGCTTGCGTCGAAACAGCCGACCTCCCACGGCTCCGAAAGCATTTGTCCCTGTGTCTCGTCGAAATGTTCCACGAGGAGATACCCTCCTCTTTTGCAGGCAAGATTGGTGTAATACTGAACGTATTGTGACGGAACAGGGTAGCCAAGCCAGGAGAGGCTCCGATGTCGTAGGAAATGTATAATGCGGAAGGAAAGAGGAGGTATTGAATATCCGTGAACTGTTATTTCTCCGTCAGCTATTGTTGATCGATTGATATCGTTGTCAATCTCGTGTGACCTACAGACTGCCCCTTTGAGTAAGAAAAGCCACAGAGTGCGGAAATCCGGATCGCTGGACACTTCTGCGACACCCACGCGTAGGTTGCAGACTCACAACGAAGTGTCTCGTCGCCGTTTCCAGGATGGAAATCCTCGCCATTGCGGTAAGGGAGAGGGAACCGAACCACGAGTCGTCTTCCATCTTGAACGGACACAGGGACGCATAAATTGAACGTCCCTTAGATCCATGTCTCCATCTCCCAAACATGGCATTCAGAGGGAGAAGGAAGCCCCAGATGTTGAGCAGCGCTTTTTTGAACGTGATCCAGATGGCGATGGATGAGGGAATAGAATTTCGACCGCGAGGGAGGGTAGAATATTGGTTTCAAGCTCTTTGGCTTGGTCTGTAGTAACGGCTCTGCGCAGGAGAGGGGGGGCCCCCGGATTGACCATCTAGCCTCATAATCGGACTGTGAAGTGGTTGTCGTCGAATTGCAAGATGAGAGCACGAGCGCAGGCAAAAGTCTTCAGGGTGCGAGCGCAGCAAGGCCGAACGAGGACCAAGGGATTCCTGATTGCGACTGTTGGCAGGCCGGCCGCAGGCTCCTTACCAAGGCGACATAAGTGTCCGGGTCATGTGACAATCACGTGACTACTGGTACTGCTGTATCACACTTGCCAAGAGTTTGCACACGAATGGTAGGTTAGCCGAGTGGCTCTAAAGCCTCAGTCACATGCACCAAGTCCGCTTCCATCGGATCTGATTGGCCTAACTTGCTGTAGGGTCCGTTGGTCGTCGTCACGCTAGGACTCGGGCCCAGATCTGGCTACGTTTGGCTGCTACTCGGACCATGATCAGTCACTGACACCACCTTGGTACCGGCGTGGGTTCTCAACTTTCCACCCGCGGCCGCCAGTGGTGGTGGAGGTGGTGGAAGTGGTGGAAGTGGCCGGTCTCCTCCAAGGTCGCTCAAGCTCTTTGCCCTCTTTGCCCCCGAGGTCAGTGACGACAGGGTCATACCCACCTGCTGCCACAAAACGACCAAAAGCGCCCTCAACAATCAAAAAAGTCCTATGCGGTTCCTGAACCTCCTGAACAGCGAATCCTGTCCCGGGTTTTCCAAGGCACGGTAAGGACGCTCAAGGCATGTGGTCCACGGTGGGAAGGCAGCAACGGAGGATCGCTGAGCCTTTGGCCGTCTGGACAAGAAACGAATCTCCTGGCAGCATCATGGCGCGAAATGCACAACGACAAGACGCAACTCTTGCCGGTTGAAGGCTACCAGAGGCCCCAAAAGCCTCACCATCGCGATCGATCCTAGCACCCTTCTCCGTGTGCGAAGCGGCTCATGTCACGGGCCAGGTTGAGTCCATTGGGCATACTCTGAAGATGATGAATTGAGAGTACGAAGGACTGGCTGAAAGCGTGGAAGTCCTGCGCCTGGTATCTAGTATCTGGCATGGCACGTAACTCGCGCCCAGAGACCAGGCCCGTGACAGCGGGAATTGGAAGGTCGAATATACTTCTTCACTCAAATACTTTGTCATTCGAGTGTCCTATGGCGCGACTGCCTTATTCACTCAGTTGGCTGACTTATTTTGCTTTGTCGCCTACTTTGCTTACTCAGTTGCCTTCGTTGCTCAACTGCCTTGTTCGTGCTTTGTGGCTCTTTGGTTTTCTGGTTTAAAGACTTCCAACCTCTCATGCTCCCAACAACTTCCACCTCCACACATTGACAATACGCCAAACCACTTGGCATTATGGCTCAACGTCAAAGCGACACACCGGTCCAGCTTCCCACCGAAATATGGGCACAAGTCATCGAGTTACTGGACAGCGAGGACCCAAAAGACGTCCGATGTCTTCGTCAGACATGCAGACGACTGTTGGACCTATGCGACCCAGCCTTTTGCAAGGTCCTACACGTTTCCAGGCCAGAATTGGCTGGAATACAAGAGGCCAGCTTCAGAAGACATCCGCAGCGATATGGCCTCGTGAGGACCATGGTTGTTCACCCTCAAGGATCGTCGGCCAGCTCTCATATTACTGTTCGCGGTCAAGGATTGGTGGCCAGCTCTGACCTTGAAAAGATGATTTCGTTGATTCCTGAATTCCGAGAGCTCCGGACTTTGCACGTTTGCACAATCGCGATCCACGACGATGTAGTCGGCATTCCTCGAGTCCAAGACTATCTCGATACGCATGCGTGCTCAGTCTTCCACAGACTGAACCAGACGATGCTGAGCAGTGCATTCACCGAGTTGCGTGAATGTACATTGCTATCTATGCAATACCATCCTATTTGGATCAACCCCATCCTGTGGGCCCCGAAACTCATCAGCTTGAAAGTGTCTTTCCCAACTATCGACGAGCAGCATGAGTTTCCGCTCCCACCACCCAAATCCACACCATTGAAGCATCTTACGCTCTTGGTTACTCCCTTCACGGACCCGCAGATTGTGTCATCCATCCTCAGCATACCAACAGCGCTCGAGAGCCTAGCGTTTGATGATAGTCGAGCTCAAATCACATCGTCACAAGGGATCCTAGCAGAAGTACTGCCAGCTCTAGCACTTCACCAGCCCCAACTGCAGACGCTGAAGGTGCATGCAGCTCGCAAGCGTAACTTCTCATTGCATATGCACACTAGTCCTTTTGATTTCACTCAGCTTACTGGACTCAAAGAACTGAGCTTCTCCAATCATGAAAATTGCCCCATCAACTGTTTCCTCAACTTGCCGGCCGGTCTCGAGACCCTTCGGTTAAATAATGAGGTGTTACTATTTGCCCTAGCCGAACGCCTCCTGCCTCTCTCTTCTGCACCAAACTTCACATGTCCACGCCATATCGAGATAGACATCGATCTCAACTTTCATCCTCCAGGTGACCGACCCCAGCGGAATTATTTCTATAGCTGGAGGAGAGAGGAACTTATGGGCGAGATTGACGAGCTGATGATGAATCTACCCTGCCAGTCAATCACCCACACGAAGAGGGCCAATAAAGAAAAGGGACGGGTATTGGCAAAGAGGACAAACGACCACGATACGTTCAAGACGACGGCAGTCAGAATCTTGTTATGCACCGATCCTGAGCTTGTGAACGGCCACAGTCGCAATGATCTTTGGGAATTCCACCAGTGTGGTCTCGAACGAGAACCTGAAGACGACCGAGATTGAGCTGCTGTCTGGCTGGCCAGGCAAGATGACCCAAGAGAGAATGGACGAGCATTGTGCATGATTCAGCGAGCCAAGGAGAGAAGGCTGACAAACTAGGGGACGACCACGGTACGAGCGTAGAAATTGGGCGGTTTCGATCTTGGGTGCGTGGCAAGAAGCCTGCTGGAAAGGTTCTTGGAAAATCGGCTCACAGGGAAGGAAGTACGACTTGGGGAATGCTGCAATGGTGAAGAGTTCTTCAATGCGAGAGCGTCGAGGGCGCTGCTTCTTTGCTTGCTTGTCTCGGAAACGAATGGGACATTGGAATACTTCGTCCTTCCTGAGGACTTGTCAGACAGTCTCTTGTGCTACAACTCAATCAATTCATTGACCTGTCGAAGCCTTGAAAGCCACATTGCATGAGATCTTTGAGTGTGAGTGATAACCAGCCCAGCTGCCTTCGTTTCATCTCACAGCCGGGCCTCGATGTAGATGCGGTGGAGAAGGGCACTGGGAGAGAAACGCTGCGGATCCGATGCCTTGGCCGCCCCTTTGCTTTGCAGACCAAGTTCCCTTTTTTTTCAATAAATAGCTCTCTCATCCCCTTTCTGCTTTGGGGAGATAACACAAATTGAATAAAGCCCATCGTGGAGAGGGAGTATGATGGTTGATTTGAACTCAAGAATTCCCCAAAGTCAGCAAATTGATATTAGCGCGATGTATGGAGACAAGGGGTGGGGGCCACGGGGCAGGGCTACAGTCTCGGGACCACAAGGCTACGGTCTCGGACAGTAAGGCAACAACTAAGGCGCCATTGGCCATCTCTGTAAAAATCCGTCTTTCATCTTCGCTTGCTAGAAATTCCCCAAACGGGCCCATGAAGTCGGCCATCACTCTTCAGCCAATCAAAGCAGAAGTAGCAGTAATGGACATCTCAGTGCAGGCGGTTCAGGTTTTCGGCCAGCTCTCGACGGACACAATCATGAGCGTGTCCATTCCGTTGGGACTTGGACAAACTGCGAGACCGTTCAATGAGTTAGGGTGAAAAGTGACAGGACGTGGGGAAACTTACCTATCCATGCTCTGCTGGCAGGCTGTAACAGGGCAAGCACCCTTGACGGGATGCAATCCAGGGAGATGCAGGACATCCGAGTCACAAAGACAGAGTGCATGAAGATCAGGGAGGGCCGTCCACATCTTGTTCGTGGTCAAAGGAAAGCTAGCCGCCATTTTCTCCGCGAGCAGGCCTCGCTCGGGGAATAATTTGTAGGCGATCAAGGCCAATTCCATCCTGGATCGGTTGCTGGGAACCTCACTCCCTCGATTCAGGACTGTCCAATCTCGTCGCTCCGGAACTCAAGACTCCCTGGTACAGCTTTCTAGCATCTCGCAGGAGTTTCTTCCAGTGATTGGCTAGCTGGCGCGTGGCGGCAGTATGGGTTTGTTGACTCCCTCGGGTCCTGCAAGTTGTTTGACCTCAGCGTCGAGCTCATAAAGGCGCGGATCCTGCTTGGACTCCGCTTCGAGGTGAGAAGGGAAGCCTATCTGATAGGCCATTTTCGTGAAACTTTTCGAGGCTCTGGAAACATTCGATGTGGCGATGGTCACTCTCCTCGCCTTGGAAGACGGCTTGGCTGTCGACCGCCCAGCAGTTGATGAGGTAACTTCGACCGAAGACTTCGATACCGGCTTGGGCCAGATGCTGTGTGCAAGTTCCACCGCGGAGTATTGCTCTGAGGTCAGCGTTTAGCTTGAACGACACCGTGGAAAAGGTAGAAATCTTGAGCAGGGCCTCCTCCTAGGCTGTAGGGAACCTGTTGGTTTGGGGTGGTTCGGGAGAGAAGACTATCGTGCTCCGCTGACGGTGGCACGATACTTATGCTTGACTTCCTTTCCGAGTTTCCGTCGGATGGTCCGCATAGACGGAGCCCCTGTGTAGCTGGCATTGATGAGAGTGCTCTTCAAAATGTTGGTGAAGGCGCTCAGGGGCATTGGGTCTGTAGTGGGACCCCCGGCTGAAGTGCATCTGTGCAGAACAGGCAGATCCAGTGCCGATTCCTTGAATCTGACGATGACTTCTTTTTAATCTGCGGGGATAATCTGCTGGCGTATGTCGTCGAGAGTGTCGTACCTGCACAGGGCGCCGTCCGCGATGGCGAGCACCAGGAGGAATCCTGCGTCGTTGTAGAACAGCGAGGGATGCCCCTTGGCCGCTGTGCCGAAGCTAGACCCCCGTCTCGTCAATACCGGGTAAAACTTCCGAGGAGAGCTCGGGTGCGGGAGCGGAACGACTTAAGTTCCGTTCTCGATATCACGGTTGTTTTTCACCCAACGCTGGTCGAGCTGGTACACCAATCTCCAGCCACCGTCGGCGTCAACGCGCTGGAAAGGAGAGTGAGACGTTTTGCTTTCGTTAGGCCACGGCCGTCACGGACAGAGGGTTCGTTGTTGACGTACCCAATATCGGAGGCCATCTGCGAAGAAGGCGTTGATCCAGACCCCTACCCTGTTACACAGCAGACGTGCATGAGGAACGTGCACGACTTGCATGCGATAGCGATCGTGGATGAAGACGAGATCGTCATAGGTCCAAAACGCGAGTAGGATCCTCGTCAGGTCTTGTATTCCGAAGTTGTGGTTTCCTCGATGCTTGTTGACGACGAGACCTTCTCGGACCAGCGTCCGTCGCACCCACTATGACGGATGTCAGGCTGACCCTCCCCGTAACCGGGCGAGGCAATAGACGAGCCGAGGATTGGTACATACATAGTACGCCTCACCCCTGTCCTCCTCCTTCGTTTCGCTGCCGGTGACGCAGGTAAAGCCTGCGAAGAGCCATTCTCGCGACCGTGCAGATAGAGTCTGCCGTCGGTCTCGTTTTGCCGATCTTCGGTTTCATCAGCGCGATGTAGTACCGGAGAACGTCCTTGACGGTGGACAAGTTTGGAGCCGGCCCCCCTTCCTCTACAACTGGACGCGGACGGCGTCGTCATGGGAAGGGAGTCCCGCGCTGTCTGCCAACATCGACCCCAGTTGCCCTCTAGGAGAATGGCATATCAGCATCCCTAGGTTTGAGTAAGAGGAGGGCACCACTTGGGTCTCTCACGTTACGTAGCGATCAAGGGTACGATCGTGACCCCGCTTCGTCTTGGACACGTATTTCCCACCGGCCTCAATTTGTGCTCCGCCGTCGTAACCGCTGGCGGCCGCTCGAGCCCAGAGCTCGATCCCGCGACTGTCTATTAGAACGGGTATGGAAGGGAATCGAAATGTTGATGGGGAATGTTGGAGTAGTCGGGTCGACGCGAGAAAAGAGAGATTCTTGCAGCCAGAGCCCTACGCGCCGGGTCTGGACGCCATTTTATTCCTGGCAGGATGGAAATGGTCGAGCTGGGTAGAGAGAGAAGGGACATCCATTGCAAGTACGTTCGGATAGCTCAGCTCCACCTAGCGACATAGAAGTCGACTCTTTCGCGCGGGGGGTGAAAGAACTAAGGAGAAAGCGCAGTTGTGTCGAGCGTAGTCTGCTGGATGTGTCGAAGAGTCGGTAGGAGGAGGATGAGCTTGGGTGATGAGAAGGTGAGGCGGTGGTGAGCAGCAGTTAAGTCGTGGATACGTCAGATCCCAGAGCGGCGCGGCGGAGGTGAGGGCAGAGGGAGCTGTATGCAGAATTTACTCTTACTTCCCTGTCATGTAGAATATATAATGCTGAAAGTCCGTACAGTTCTGTTGCTGGACATCTTTTGGGTACAAGGAAGCATCATCACAACTTGTCCGGTTGCGTAGCTTACGAGTGGCACTTCCTCCACAGAAACGGTATCCGAGAAGATTTCACCACCGAACCCCTGAGTCGTCGTCGCTACGGGGAGGAGTAGGATCTAAATCGGACATAGTTCACTTTGGTGATGGGTCGCTTGTGGAAGAACTAATATCAGGCTCGGTGTGTCAAACGATGCGAATGATATAATATCCTGTAGAGAATCCTCTGATTGAAGTTCATATGCTGGTTGGTAAAAGATGCCGGATATGCAAACAGGCACAGAACAACAGCGGACAGTCAGAAATCAAACAAAAAGAACAACAAATAGAATGTACAAAACGAGAGTCAATGACAATTTTCCTAGCCAGAATTATCGCGAAGTTTGAGGCCAAATAGAGCAATTCTTACACGCTTGCTGTTGCCGGGAGAGAGGCTCTACATGGATCGACAGCTGATCGGACTGAGGGGGTTTCATCTTTGGCAATGGATACTGGCTCGATGCACGGGTAGTCTAGGTTCGTCAATGGGAAGGACTCAAACTATTATACATTGATGGCGTTCAAAAGTAGGGCGCTATACATTGGTGAGGCGAGCAGGCCAGACAGCAGGTGACAGGTCAAGACAAGACGGAGCACGTCAAATTCCGCGCTCCCAGCTAATATCAAATCTGAGATCTCGGAGGCTCAGGCAACGTGCAATTCTTAGCTAGTTAAGCCGCCCGAGCCACGTAGAGGTATCGTCTCTCGGTGATGGCGGCCGAGTTGGCGGCGATGGGGGTAGGTAGAGCCTGTAGAAGCGCCTTTCCACGTTGATCAAATAGGTAATGCCCCGGATTCCAGGCTTCTTCGGTCTGGTAGGCACAAAGTCGACAATATACTGACCCAATCCCACGAGCAAATTCGCGGCCTTCGATGTCTGTTACTTGTTCACCAACGTCAACATGGGTTGCCCCCAGACATATCAAGCCTCCTTGTTCTTGAAGTTGAGTCCAAAGCTTGGGAGCACATGCGAAGCTTTTCGAACGATTCCCTGGAGGCAGTATTGAACACTGCAATAATCGCATCTGGATGTACAAGGAAAGGATCGCCCTGGTCTCGTGAATTTGCACTGTGACTTTTTTATGCCCATCCCAGTAAGATCCCTTATTATAGGCTTCCTCAGTGTGAACGTGTTCTTCCGGGGAAGCGTTTCCACAGAAACTGTCCAAGGCGTCAGAAAGTAGCTTTCCCACCTGCTGGACGAGCGCGGTTTTCCCTACTCCCACATCGCCTAATAGCGCGACGGTAAAAGGATCCCCTTCGACCATGGTATAAGATTGGGCGGTGTGTTCAAATGAGAGTGAAGTGAACCACGCGAAGGAGAGATAGATGCGAATGCAAGACAACCAGACTGGAAAATTCCCGCCTTTATGCACCACCGCCCTTGATCAGCCATCTCTTGATCACGGTGTTGATGGCGTGAGAGGCGAAGACCAGGGATGAGCACCTGGATTGAGGAATGTGGATCATGATGGGATGGAATGTCGATAGTGTAGGCAGTCGTAGGTATGGACCGATTGCAAGGATCGGTAGAGTTTGAGAGCATCCTTTGACCACACCGACGACAAAGACACGAATGGGAATGCGTGTGCGAACACTACCGTAGTTCTGAAGCCAGGCTTTATATACTTCATCGTTGTTCTGTTAGCCTCCTGGTTTTGCATCGGAACAAGAGACTTACTTCATTCTGGAGATTTTCAAGCTCCTTTTCAAGTCGCTAGCAGACAGTGATAACGAGCAAGACTCGCTTGTAATTGGCCATTGGAGGTCTGTTGTTGATCAACATGATATGTGCCGCGGGGAACCGGTGACTTCAAGGTTTGTGGCGGGAATAGCAGCCAACTGGTTTCGGCACGTGACTAAGCTACACGTGACTAGGCTACACGTGACTGAGCCGCTCACCGCCTGCGCCTTACCGTCGTTGTTGCGGTCCCTGTAACCCTTCCAGATAGTCCTTCGTACTACGATTCATCAGTTCAAGCGCATGGCGTGATACCTTGCTTTCAACTTACACGCTACTCCCTAACACCGTGCAGCTCCCAACAAACACCTCATAATGACCTCTGAACGTGAAGCACGGTTTCGACTACTATTCTATCTACTAGGTCAGGCAGAAGAGCGTCAAAGACAAGCAGAAGGGCGCACAGCACAAGCAGAAGAGCGTACAACACAAGCAGAAGAACGTATAACACAAGCGGAAGAGCACGTAAGATAAGCGGAAGAGTATGTAAGACAAGCGGAAGAGTATACAAGACAAGCGGAAGAGCGTGTAATATATTCAGCACGGCTGGAAGAAGAAGGAGATACGTTTACAGCGATAGCAGAAGGGCGACAAGAAATATCTTTAGCAGAGAGTGTAAGAAGAGCAGAAGAGCGTGCAAGAGAAGCAGAACTACGTACAAGAGAAGCAGACGAGCGTGCAAGAGAAGCAGACGAGCGTGCAAGAGAAGCAGACGAGCGTG